TCAACCGACTTGGGAGGATGGGGGGGTAACAGGATTAGGGGGGGAGGGGCGGGGTGATGGGGAGGTGGCCGCAGGGAAGGGGGGGGTCAGTCATGGGATGGGGGGGGATGAGGATTTGGGAGGCAGTGTTTTGCTGGCTGTAACCACTAGACTCCGCTCCCCTCCCAGGACCAGGTAGAGAACCCAGGAGTCCTAGCTCCCCCCCCCCCCCCGCCCAAAGTGGGACAGTATGAAATCAGCCAGGAGAAATTTCAGGGGGCAGGGGAGCCCCCCTGATTGTGGGGTGTCATTTGGGGGCCTGAGAACACCCAGACCCATAAACCCAGCTCCAATGATCAGACCCAGGGTACGGGGGGGGGACCCCCCATAGGACCCCTAGCCTGGCTCAGAGGTGCACTAGCCACATCCGCCACCAGGGGGCAGCAGACGCCAAAGGATGGCAAACAGCCCCCAACCCCACTTGATGGGACTTGCCCCAGTGCCGGATCCCTGTATAATCCCAGAGGGGCTGTCTGGGGGACCCACAGGCCCGGTGCTCTCCCCGGGCCTGGCCCAGCCCCAGGGGGGTCCCTGCAGCCCCCTCGGGGTCGCTTTCTCAGTGGGGTGAGCCCCTTGGCTTCCTGCCCCCTAGGACCCACCCTTGCCTGCAGCCCCCTCCCCTGGGTCAGGCTGGGTGCCCCCCGCAGTGAATGCCCCAGGATGGGCCCTGGGGGCAGGCAGACCCCCCCCCCCCGAGGGAACCAGGCCTCCCAGCTCCAGGCTCGGGAGTGACTTGGCCAGTGGGGGGAGCACAAGGGGGTTGTTGGGGGGTCTGGGCGCAGCGGCAGTGGGCAGGGCCATTGTCTTCTGGGCCCCTCCCTGGGCATGGGGGGGGGCTCATAGGTCACACCTGGGTCTGTGCCTCCCACTCAACCACGCAGCACATGGGGAAACTGAGGCAGACACAATATTCATACAAAATATTATGAATAATTCCCACTTGGCCACAGTGCTCCTCCCCTGGCGTCAGGGCGGGAACTCAGGCATCCGGGTCCCACCCGGGCAAAGGGTCCTTGTATAACCAGCCCCCCACGCTCCACCCCAGAGGAGCTGCATCTTGGCACAAAGGCAAATCCATTGGTTTCCAGTGACATTTCGGGGCCTGTTGTGGGGGGGGGGAGGTCTTTCGCCTATTCCTGGTGGGCCATCTGTCCCCGCAGACCCCGGTCCCCGCTCCAGCCCTGGAGGCGGCTCGACGAAACACGGCTTAATACAAAGGAAAAATCCATCTCCGGCTTCCCCGGTGCTGCAGATACAAGGTCCAGACAGCGGGGGCCGTGGGGCTGGGTTGGCGCTGCACAGCGCCTCCTGGGGGCAGATGCCGGCCCCGCGGCCTGTGGGGAGCCGGCCTCCGGGCTCAGCTCTGCAGTCCGTTGAGAGGCGCGGCCGATTCCACCCTCTGCTTGGCTGGTGGCAGTGGCGTGTGAAAAGCAGCGTCCGGCTCCGGCGGCCCCGGCCTGCACCAGTGCTGGCCGCCCGCATCGCAGAATCCAGAGCAGCGGGACCGACCGTGACTCCGGGGGTCCTGGGAGGAGATGGGGAAAAGGGGAGAGAGTAGAGAGAAACGGAACCCAGGAGTCCTGGCTCCAGGCTCACCCCCGCTCTAACCACTAGACCCCACTCTCCTCCCAGAGACAGGGAGAGAACCCAGGAGTCCTGGCTCCCAGCCCCCCCTGCTCTGACCACTAGACCCCACTGCCCTTCCCGAGACTGTCCCCCGGAAAAGGGCCCACACCCCACATGTGTTGGGGGGAGGGGGGTTTATACCTGAGCCATCTCTTTCCTATCCGCTCCTGCACCCTGCTTGTTCAGGTGTCCGACCGCTCGGACTCCTGGGTCCCCTGGGGGGAGAGAGGGAAGAAGCGGCTGCAGGAGTCCCGGGATCTGCCCTCCCTCCCACCCGCCAGGAGCCTCGTCCCTTCCGCCCCCTACCTGGCCACGGAGCCTCCTCTGACGCTGCCACACGAAGGCCAGAGACCCCAGGATGGGCACCAGAAGAAGCAGCACCGGCAGGTGGTTCTGGTGCAAGGAGCCGGCCCCGGACGCCTGGGTCCCCGGCTGCTTCTGGCTGGAGAAGCCGGGCTGCGGGAGCCCGAGCGGCGCGGGCAGCAGAGCCGGGGCTGCTGGGGGGACACGGAGAATGTGGGGAGAGAAGGGAGGGGTGATTCCCCGCTGAAAGGGGGGCTGTGTGGGGGGCAGGATGGAGCGGGGTATTGGAGGTTGAGGGCAGTGAAGGGGATGAGGGAAGGGGGGTTGGAGGAGGTGCCAGATTGGCAGCGAAGATAGGTCCGGGGGGGGGAGGGGGCTGTACCTGGATGGCAGTGGATGCGAGGCCAACCGGGGTGTGTGTGTGTGCAGTAGGGGGGCTTGATAGGGGTGTGGGGGGGATGCCAGAGGGTTGGTGGGGCCGGGGGAGCCAGGGGCCACCAGTGGGTACCTGGCTGGCAACAACTGCAGGTGCAGTGGCTAGGGGAGCAGGAGGGGTTGGGGGAGCGGGCCATGGACAGGGGTCGGGAGGACCGGGGGGGATCTCAGGGGGGACTCAGGGGGTACCTGGCTGGCAGCGGACGGGACGACCAGGGGGGTCTCAGGGGGTACCAGGCTGGCAGCGCTCGGGGGCTCGGGAGGACCAGGGGGGGTCTCAGGAGGGTTTGGGGGGTACC